ATTGGAAAAGACGCCATTTTTTTACCATTTAAAGGCTTAGTCACATGACCTGTCAGGTGGGAGTGGTTTCCAGCATAGTTAACGTCCAGAAAAGGTCGTATGGATGCGTGCGACTTCTGTTGTATTGCAGATTTATTCATAGTTTCCGAGAACCACCGTTGACATTTACCAACTCGTACTGTCGTGTACTCGGGAACACTTGTCAGACACTGGCACATCTTGTTTCATCGCAAACATGACAATAAACTTCTATAGATCGAACTTCAAACACGGCACGTGACGTCAAGGATTTACCCCCGGTGCATGTATGCCATAGTTGTCAGTGTGTTGATGGTATTGACAGAAGCAGGGACAGTTGGATGTTGCACTCATGCTAGGTTTCTACCGTTACCAAGACGTATCCCTGCCTCTTTCAATACCCTAAGAGCAGTATGGAGCTCAACTCGGGACTGAATGGATAATTGATGGTACTGACACAAATGATGCAGATGACTAAATGTATTATAAAAGTGACTGGAAAATTTGGAATTCAGCCTCTTACTTACCAGGACCCCCCTCCAAAAAAAAAACTGTTAGTGATACTGAACATTTTATTTTAAGTGAAAAAGAAATGTATCCAGCAAAGGATTGATACTCTTTTTACAGCATCAACAAAATCATGAAATACATTATAACACATAATGCAATATAATAGTTAAAAGAATATCTGAAAACATATAAACAGAAATAGTCTTTGTGTTTTTGTTTTTCTAGTTTTTTACATGTGCTATATTATTGTTCTGCTCCAACATAACATTTACCTATTGTTAATTGTAATTAAATCGAAAAAACTGGCAAAAAATACACGAAACTGAGGTTTATTTTAAGTGAGTATCATGTAAATTACATGCAACACGTACGTAAGTTTTTGCCCGCTTATTTCTGTCGTAGGAGCAACCACAATAGAATATGATGATGTAAATGCTTCTATCTGTCACTATTTTATAATTATGACTTAAACGCCGAAAGTGGGCAAACTATTGGAAAACCAACAGGCCTAAATTTAAATTATTATTAAAACAAGTTAACTGCAGACCCCTTCTCCTAATTTGTCCTTTGCGGTATAATTCAAAGGTGTGTAAAATTAGCATTTCAGATTTATCTTTTGTTTCCCACAAGTCACCGCCCAATAAGCATTTCTTTCAATATCAGAACTCATCAGATGGGCTGGACCATGAGAGAAAAAAGATTCTTTGAAACGTTCTTTATATATGCAGTATGTGTTACGACTTAAACGCCAAAACATCTGCAGTTTACTTGTTTTTATAGCAGTTTTCAGACCTGTTGGTTTCCCAATATTTTGCCGACTTTCGGCGTTTAAACAGTGACTTTTAAAGTATTGTACTGCATATATAAGTAGCGTTTCATAGAAGATTTTGTCCAGTCCGAATGATGACTTCTGGTATTGAAAGAAATGCTTATTGGGCGGTGACTTGTGGGAGAAAAAAACACAAATCTGAACTGCTATTTTATTTTTACATATTACTATTTGAGTTGTTTTTTAAACATGTATGTTACTTCAATTGTTTCTATTGTACAACCATATTTGTTGGCCATTTCTTATTTATGTCGAGTCGGGTGTGGCGTAAAGGTTAGCTGGTAGGCTGTGGACCATAGATGTCCGGGCTTCGAAATGTGATTCCGTCTAACTCACTCCGCACTTCAAGCTGTTGGCGCGTTATAAAAGTGACACGCAATCACGTTATATATATTTTAAATGGTTGGATAAATTCTTTTGACGGTGGGTGATGTCTGGCTATCTTTTATCTGGTCAACAATTCAAAATTAAAAGCGACTATATCGAACACTAGGGGTCTCTCACGTTGCCGTTTAGCCCACGTACACATAAGGTACTATCCATGTTAAAAGTTCCATTTCCAATCCTCTTTTTGTGTAAATGCGCATGTCGCTATTCTTTCTCTTTTCATGTATTTCCGGTGCCGCGTTTTACGAGTTACACCATCTTGGGCATCTGCCGTGTCGTGAACTTCCGTGTTCATTGTTGTGTAACTTAAAAGTTGTTTATGTCTATACATATCTTGCTCTTTAAATTTTTAATACAAGAAGAGCTCGGGAAAACTGTTTGTTTTAATTTATAGAGCTACATAAATTACGTTTCCCCCCTGTATCTGATAATTCGATAATCCTAACAAAACAGGTACTGATATTCAGATATAACTAGATATGTTTAACCTAGCACGCCTAGGTGTGGTGCCACAAAAAACGGTGTGGCTCTTGCCATGTGAAACCAACCACGTGACCAAGACCAAGTTGTCAGTGAAGTGCGATATGGTAAGCCAAAATATAATGACTGATTGGGAATTTCTGTTGTAAAAATTAACAGACGTATTATATCTTATCATTTTTCTGGCTCCTCCACCCTGTTATAATCTTCGTAAATGCATTTTCCTGTTGGTAAAATGAACCTCCCCTCCACCACTTCCTTTCTATATTATACAGAATGGCCTGTATTTAGTGAGAACACATTCAGATATTGAAATGAAATGCACAAATTTGCTGGTTGCTGTCAGCTCAAGCGTTTAATACACATATCTCTGAGTCAACTTTTTTTTTACCTCGCGTTTACAATTGTTTGCATTTCACTTTAGTGCTAGAAAATTGATACACTCTTGTACGAATAATTCTTGAAGCAGTGTTTAGATTTCTTGAAAAACGGTGTTAATTATGTCCTATACTTGTGAGAAATACTGAAAAATATTTTTTTAAGATAAAAGAATATTTATTACGTGTTTGTAAACAACAAACAAAAACAACAATTTTTATCTGTTTATAAACAACAAACAAAAACAATGATTTTTACCTGTTTATAAACAACTCTCACATGTTGGTTGTTAAAGAGAGCTTTTGTTTTAACCTACAATAATATTTGCAAGATGTTTTGTTGAACAGATTATGTAACGAAATCTTAAATAAAAAAGCAAAAAAAATGATTCTTCAGTATATACACACACACACACACACACACACACATACACACACATGAAAGTTTAGTTTATGTCCCTTCCTTTTGCATTTGTACGTACCCCAACTATGTAATTTGCGTTCTATTGTCCTGGATATGTACATTTACCTACTATGTGACTTATGTCATTTCGGATGTTTATGCGTTACCTATAATGTGCAGTTTGTGTTGCAACATTTTGTATATGTACATTAATTAATGTTGAAATATTTTGGAGGTGTACATTGCCGAATGTGCAGTTTGAGTTTCTTCATTTCGAATACATACATTACTTACTTCTACTTAGTGTGTAATTTGTGTTCCATCATTTTAGAGGTATTCATTATCTAAAGTGCAGTGTAAGTTCCACCATTCTGGATGTACCTTATCCAGACCCCTTAAGAAGCCCAGACCATGAGACCTTGCCTGTTGAAGAGCAAGAAGAACAAAAACATTGTGTAGGGAATCCTCATCGTCCATGCAAACATTCATGAAGAGAGTGGATCTCTGGGCAAGGCAGCAGTAGAGGAACCCAATTTATAGCAGCATCCTGACTTAACAACTTATATTGTTGTTGTTTATGTTTTGGATGTGTATATATAACAAATGTTGCTATTTGTGTGTTTATTAAATGGGTTTAACTCGGTTCTCTCTTTCTCTGCTTTTTTAAAAATTCAAATTCAGCACTTTGAATTTTATCTTACTTTTTTATTGTCTGGAACATATAACTAATAAAAAAAAAAGATAAATTTTTTTCTGTCCATTTTGTTACCTCGATTCTGAACATGTGGAGTGATTCATAATTTAATGTTGTTTTAAAGTTTACAGAATAAGCTTTCGTTGTGATTTTCTGGAAGTTTTTCTTTATTCTTCGTTAGTCGTAGAAAAACAGTACTTATCAGTGATTGGAACTATACTTACAGGTCTAGAGAGTACACTTCGTGCTTTCAATGCTGGGGCGTAGCCAGCAGTACAGAATGAGTAGGTATTTTTCTTTAAAAAACCTGGACTTTCTACACAAAGAATTTAAGTGACTTATATTTAAAGTCAAATGTGTATATATCAGAAGATGGCAGACCTTTTAAGACTTTTTAGAATATTGTACAGTTGAACTAAACACTGTAACGCATCCAAAGTGCGTATAATCAAATCCTTCATAAACAGAAAAGATGGAACTTAGATGAAGCTCTGTGATAATATCTCTGCGTGCTGTTTAACACCTGGGGAAATGAACGTTACGATCTAGTGTCTCAGATGTAATTATCTGTGTTTGTTATCAATGGCGGTATCTGAAGATCTTGACATCTAAACCTCTTTCGCTGTTTTTTTTCTGTATTCTATTATAATTATATGTGATTTATCAATACTAACTCTATTAAGAAAATGCCTGGGCTCTTTGAGATTTTTTTTACTGCGATTTATTTTTATTTCCTTAAGCCATTGTACTTTAAACGCATACATAATCATTTATTATTAAATATGAAAACCAGTAAGTTATTAAACAACGCCAAACTAATATTGTAGGAACACACTGCGCAAGAATTACTAATATCCAGTTATCTTGAAAAATCAATGAAGCAATGTCATACACTATACTGTGGTAAACGAAAACATTTAATCATTTCTTATATGACTGGCTGGTTAGATTACATTTTACCTCTATAATTCAAAAGAACTATCAAGTGATTTATTTTTATAATTATCAGACTGTCATGTTGTACTGTGACAGATTTAGTTTGATGATGAAAATGTTAAATTTTGAATATTTTTTGTGTAATCCTTTGAGAAAATGATATATTAAAACGACAGTTTTCTTATGCAGATCAGAACTAGCATACTAGAATATGTTGTATATTTAGGGAGAATCGCTAAATGACACTGCATTTGTCATTGAAGTTACTGCTTGCAGATTAGTGTCGATTTTTTCATCATTCATATAATACCTGATTGAACATAACTGTCCTTAGAAATGGTAATAGCTTTTTTTGTTTACTTTCAGTGGGTGGAGGAAAGCTTCACGAATTTTGAGCAAGGGATCAATTGGAGGTCATTTGTGGTTTGTGATGTCGCCTACACAAACGTTAACAACTGGTTATGGACACCTTTTATCGAACGTGGCGACGCCAGTCGGATGTATATTGAAATAAAATTCAGTATGCGGGATTGTAATCTCTTTCCAGGCATGGCTTTATCATGTAAGGAAACCTTCTCCTTACTCTACTACGAGTTTGATGCTGCAACAAAGGAACCTCCACCCTGGGAGCCCGAATCTTACAAACTCGTCGATCGAATTGCAGCCGATGAGGGGCGCTTCATGTCATCCAATGAAGTCATCATAAACACCGAAATTCGAAGTATTCCAGTTACCAAAAGAGGTGTTTATTTTGCTTTCCGCGACCAGGGGGCGTGCTTGTCCTTAATCGCCATTAAAGTTTATTATGTCATTTGCCCCAACATGACTAGAAATTTCGCCTTCTTTCCGGATACATCCACAAGTGAACAAGTAACAGAGATAGTTGAAGTGGAGGGACAGTGTGTTCCTAACGCCGAAGTAGTGGAACCTCCGAAGATGCTTTGTAAAGGAGACGGAAATTGGACGCTTCTTGCTGGTGGCTGCAATTGCATGCCGGGATATGAAGCTGTCGGCCAGACTTGTGAAGGTAAGCACGTGGACTTACTGCACATATAATAGTTTGTACACTTGTTTAGTTTCTAAACCTTCACGTGCTTAGTATGATATGTAGGTTCTCAGGTGTGATGATAACCAATCGAAACAACAAGATGTATTTCGTGCAACTTTGGTAAAACTGTGTTATCGTGTTTTGCGTTTTGAATCGTTTAAAATTTCGATAAATTCTAATTATTGTTAACTATTGGCTCAAGAAATGAATTAAGTTCGGATATATTAGAGCACAACCCATAAAAATATTTTGAATGCATTCAACATGTAATGAATTATTTGGGCTTATCAAATTGAAACAATTGTTTATCTTGTTAACGGAACCAGGAGATATGCCGAAGTTCATCACAATTTGTTTGTTTTTTAACCAGAGGGTTCTCTTCATTAACCGCAACCATATCTTGCAGGTAAAGGCGTGGCTCTGGATTTAGTAGTTTAGGAGCCCGTTTCCGTTGTTAACGCTTTCCTGTTAAAGTTTTCTGCTTCCATGTAAAATCTCGAAGTGTTGTGTCTTTTGGCTCTATATTACTTAACAAGCTCTTTGGGAATGCGTATACATTTATTCTTTTAGCCATGATCCGTCCGTGGCAGCATTGTATTATTTAATGGTTGGGATTTCGCCATCAACCAAATGTGTAGGTGTTAAACGTGCCGTCTGTGGCGACATACCATGCATGTACTAACCGTTTATAAAGTTGGGTTTAACTCTCTATTTAGATGTTTTGTAAATCAGATTGTTGAACCTTTTTCATTGGAAGTTTGTTTACCTGTTTTGTGCAAGAAACTAAGTTATCAGAAGGATGTTGTAAATCTTGTTTTCAACGAATGACTTGGTAGGATGGATTGGATTGTTATGGATTTCGCGCAAAGCTACGCGAGGGCTATCTGCGTAGCCGTTCATAATTTAGCAGTGTAAAACTAGAGGGAAGACAGCTACTCATCAACACCCACCGCCAACTCTTGCGTTTCTCTTTTACCAACGAATAGTGGGATTGACCATCACATTATAACGCTGCAAGGGCGAGCATGTTTGGTATGACGGGGATTCAAACCCGCGACCCGCAGATTGCGAGTCAAGCGCCCTAATCACCTGGCCAATGACCGTCCATTCTGGTAGGTAGTGGGTTATAAATACCAATATGCACGTGTCTATACGGTTTAAAAACAGCACATTACTTATGGTTTAAGCGAAGTATGAACCATTGCAGTTAGACCGTGTTGCTGTCCTAACTTGATTATGGATATACTTTGTGCATATTGCCCTTGAAATATAGCTAAATCAGAGTACGCCAGTTTATATATATTATATAAAATGGAGTCACCTTTGTTTAGATGTTGAGGTATTGTGCTATACTTCTTCTGTTGCAGATGTAGTTTTCCAAATAAACAAGTACGCTATAACAACGCAAGGCACCCACGTAGCATAAGGAGAATTATGAATCAACGTATGTTTATCTAAGAATCGAAGACGTTTTATTGCTCGTACAGTCTTCGTTATTATAGGAATGCTAGACAAACAAAGCTTTTGAAATTAAAGCAGTCACGGATCAGTGGCCTTTGAATAATTTTTTACAGTATAAAGATGTGATACGTCGACAGTTGAAAAATTGTGATTTTAATATTTATAAAAAAAAGAGAGAGCTACTAATAAACATCAATATATTCTGTAGATTCAAATATATTAGTATACATATGTGATTGGTTGATTTTTACCATTTACTATATTAGTATACATATGTGATTGGTTGATTTTTACCATTTACTATATTAGTATACATATGTGATTGGTTGATTTTTACCGTTTACATTTTACACAATGTAATTTCTCTGCTTAAACGGAGACGTCGAAAAACATTTACCCCAGTTAGAAAAATTATGTATATTGTGGATCAAATCGAAAAGCTATCGCAGTAACTTGAAGTGGATTGTAAGCATCTCAAGAACTGAGAGAACAGCTGAATGAAATCCAGTATAAACAAAAAGTTAAACTGTGTTTATTTAAAAGTAGAGGTTAAGACAGTGTTGTAATTGAAGAGGTTAATAGAAATACAGTTTAAGAGTTACTACAGAAAAACTTATTTTACTTCCACAGTAAGTTTTGTTTGTCACTCAGAAAAACGGGAAACGGAGAAAAAACACTTAATGTACAAAAAAACACACATTCATAGAGTAACGGAAAGAAAAGAGCGAAATGCTTTCAGGTTCTATGTATTCTGGATATGGATTATTTTAAAAGCAAAGAGAAGAAAAGTAGAACTACGCAGTGGTCACTTCTAGTAATGCTTGGTGTCTTTTTTTTTTCATGGTCAGTTAGGCTCGAAGAGTGGTTAGCTTGATGTTTTACTACTCACTTAGGAAGCTCCATATTCCGAAAGATATCAAGATTGTATGGCTCAGCGAATGGAAACTCTTTGTTTGCAGGATTGTAGAACTTATTTTTGACTGCCGACTTCCTTTTGTACAAAAGCAATGGAACGTAACAGCATTCTTTGGTTTATAACCAAAAAGCCTGTGTAACACCAAGGACTTACCAAGTCAATTCTTGATGACAGAGTAGAAACATTTTCACAGTACTTAAAAGAAGCTGAATGATATGTCATCAAAGAAGATGAATGGGATAAATCTTTAACTTAGACTGTCATTTGCTCTTTACTCTACAAAAAAATGTTTGTGAGGAAATCTTTTTAAACTATGTTATGGAAACTCATAACCATATTCCAATCAAATTAAGAAACCTCTTGTAATATTTTAACTATTTTCAATCAGTAAATGTGTCACTTTATCATGAATCAAGTACGAGTTTACACCCATTGCTTGTTTGACCAGGATTGAAGTAACTTTTGTTAATTAATGTGGAAGCGAATAACCAATTAATTAACTCTATGCGTGAATTTCATCTCCTGTTAATTTGTATGGTGTTGAAGTCCTACTAAACCCACATTTTAAGACATTGTAATAATACTATGTGATCTTAAAGTTTTGTAACTGTTAAATGTTACTGAGTGCTCAATTTTGCTTGTGGCTGAATTTAAAACATTGTAATGTTAATATAAAATCTTTACGTTGTCCACTTCTCGCTGATTACTATTTAATACTACACGTTTTATATTAATAATTGCCTAGGGCAGATGAAGAGAAGTCTGATTCGAGCAAATAGTTCCAAAAACAGCCTTTCTTATCCTATTTTTGCTTGTTTGTATTGGCAGGTATATATCATATGTAGGTACGTAAAATATACAGTAGCGTGTAATTGTTTGTGTTAATCCGTTTGCGCATTGCTTAGCGCATTATCCGGTGTTGTTAATTATCGGCTTTGAACGAAATGTATTGTTTCATCGCCATACTGTTCCGGTTGGTATTGAACAACACTTAGTTACTTGTAGTTATCAGATTACTGCTTTTGAAAAACATTTATTTTATTGTGATTGTAGCAGATTGTTTTGTTTCCAAATGGTTTATTCAATAATTGAAATGTTAGCCCTGAATACATTCCTCTAAGCTACTTGCTTTTTTGCCACCTGCACGAAACGAGAAAGTTTTTTTAAGTACTTCACTTAAAGCAGTAAGTAGGAAGAGCACTGTTTTCATTTCAACAACCCTAAAAATATAATTACATTATAATTCAACGAAACTGTAAGGATATGTAGGGAAAGTGCATATTAAAATCAAACAAACGAACACTGGCTTTACTAGTTCTCTGCAGCATTAACTTCAAACCGTGCACTGCCTTTTATTATCATTGTCTTTTAGATATTGTACTATTGTAACATATACGTGAACGTAGACGGTAAGGGGGGTCATATGTTCCCAACTTTTGACCCGGTTGCGTAATGCCTCTGAATAGGAAGTAGGGACTTGTGTATAATTATCAGAGAAAGTCGCTGCTTCAACGGAGCAAATAAGGAGCTCCCAATTGTAGGTTTCTCCCCCCTCCTCCCAAAAATGTCCCTCATGTTTGCTTAAAGCTCTCCTTTATTTGCTGAATGTATTCCCTAGTGTTTTTTTTTTTTTAAGGCACTGTCTGTAGTGGTGTCATATATTGATAAGCTCTTCAATAAAATCTTAAGATTCGTCAATTGCTAGGTACACTTAATTACTTTAGTTGTTTCAACAAAAACAAGTACAACTTTTTCTAATGAAAATGTCTGCAAAGTTTTCTGGACGTATGTTTACCATAATTTGTGTTTTTGTATAGTTAAGATAACAGATTTTTCAAGACGTCTGTTCCATGAGACTTAGAAATCCAAAGCAATTATTTTAAGCATGTTTTGATAGTGAAAACAAACTTGTTTGTACTCTTATTATCAACTTTTGTTCAATACTAACAAAATGTTATCGGAAAGGATTAAGGTTTCGTACAGTATTGTAAAAGACAAGAATTCGACCAGATCAACGGATGTAATGTTAGTGTAATGTACCAGTCTATTATACCTTTGTTTAGCTGGTAATAGATTGCAACTAAAGTTGTTAATTTGTAAGTTATTGTTTGCCTGAATTACTGGACCGAGCGTGGCCTAATGGTTTGCGTTCTTGTACTTTGAACGTGGAGGTTCGCTGTTTGCCGCAAAAACACACTCCGCACTTCTAGTCAATAAGTGAGTTACGAGTGTCGTAAGAACATTAATATTTTTCATGAGATAGGAACGAAGATATCCTTAAACGGGGTATTGTTACAAGGCCAGTGTCCAAATCATTTATCCACAAGACTGACCATAATGGCATCTATATTTAACTGCTCGATCTAGCCCGAGCAGGGTTGGCATGTAGAAAAGCCTGCTTGTCCAGTAATGCCCAAGACATACTCCGCCTTAATGTAGGATCATCTGACTAGAATACATTCTTACGTATCTTTAAATAATAGGTTGCACTGGGCACGTTTTCTCAATTAACTTTTGGCAGGCTGCTAAGCCTAATCTTGCTGCTTTGTTTGTTCAACATATGTCTGCCAAGCTCTATTTGACCTTGCGACTGAACACCCTT